TCGCTAGACATTTATGTGGGAGCTCAGTAACGGAAGTCACCAGTCGGGGAGGAGCAAGGCGATACTGAATGTGGTACGACAATCTTCAGGAGCATTTTCTTGGCTGAATCAATGGAAAGAGCCTAAAATCATACTAATCTTCTTGACACCCTGCGGGCGTCACAAATGTATGCACTGCATCCGCTGGTGCGAATCCTGATTGACGATGACGTGGCAAATACACGCACACACTTACGATAAAACTCTCTGAACAAGACCGACGTGAGCTGCATGGCCACGGGTGTCCGGATTGAGAGCTGTCGGTGGATTTGGATTTCGGCGAGAAAATGTGTGAGGCGAATGAGGAATCGGATCAACGGCAGGGTCGACTAGAGAACCAATGTCCGAAATAACTGGCTGACGAGCAGAAGCAGGAAGTGGTGGCCGCTGTCAGCCATGGGCCACCGCCACCGCCGTCGTCGCTGCTGCCTTTCGGTCAATCATGGCGATGAAGGCGGTGGGCATTGGAGGTAGCCGGCGGCCAGCGAACTCTTCGAGGTACTGCAAGAGGAGGGAGTAGAAGGCACACAAAGCCAAGCAACAAAGCTCATACACATTCTCCCGTACAGTCGATTGGTCAGGATGTTGCCGCGTGGCACAATTACACGCTGATGCGATTCGTCTAGCGCACCTGAACGGACGGACGACGGCGACGGCGACGGCAATGGCAACGGCAACGACGACGGATATAGGTTACAGGGGTGCCGTTGCGCTCAGAAATCGATCCGTCAGCTGCTTGCTTCTTTTTCTTTCATGCTTCCTTTTTTCCTCGTGTCGCCGATGCTGGTAGGTCGACGAATGGCTGTCACTCATTTATGAATGCCGCAGCTGGATTGGTCATCGTCGACGTAAGCCGAAGGCTGGCTGGCTGATCAAAAGGCAGGTACCTGCTGGACTGGCGATCGTCACTCAATGAGGTACATCCCGAACGACCGCCGTAGCTCACCGAGGCGATGCGAAACCTCACGGTCCAGAAATGAAACCGCCCGAAGACGATGACAGCAGTTGCCGGAAGCCATGTTTATGCCGCCGGCGAGCAGCTTGTTCTTTCGAATGCGAACTTGCAATTAATGGCTAAAAGAGCCGCCAAGAGACGGTCATTAGCAGTCGAATATTTCATTGAGTCTCGTTGTTAAGATGAAGTTCCAATTTACATCGAGAGACAGGAACGGAACGGACCGCAGAGTAAACAGAAATTCAAAAACCTCGAACTGGTCGGCTGCTGCAAGCGCCTTGGTCAGTTTGTCCGAAGCCGAGGGAGGGCGTGGAGACGAAGATCGAGCTGCCGTCAACGTCGGTCGCTGGTCTCTCGAATGGCCATCGATCGCCGCCGCAAGTCATCGCCCAACACCTCTCTCTGCCGTGGTCGTCCACTCATTCACTCATCAGCAACGGTTGCCATTATTGATCTCTGATGATCCATCGCCTGATCAGCCAGAGTTAAACAGCTGACTGAGGTACATTGGCAATTATGTGTCTCTGAATTTGTGGACACCGGAAACAGTCGAATGTGACGAATGAAATTACCGCAAGCCAACCGGAAATTAGGTGGACGAACGTTTGCATTTTATTGCGAACGGAGTCCAAGCTGTTAGCTTAGGTTAAGGTTATTCGGTTTAATCGAGTAAGGCAACATCGGTAACTGTACAATTTTTCTAGCGAGTCAAATAACTCATGAAGGCAGAGGCTTCTTCGACGTCACATTGAAAACTCACCTAAAGAAGGGCAGCCTTACGAAGCTCTGATAGGCTTCAAAGCTGACATATACATACAAATGGCCTGCCACCGAGATCCTGATGACCGAGACTGACAGACATACCTATGGCTTTTATGGCAGGTTTCTTAGGAGGGGGACATTTCGATTACAAACCTGGGTGCTCTGCCATTGTACTCTCGCTCTGAACGGTTTACAAAAACAAATCAGCACATCAGACCAGATTTTCATCTTGTCATTGCATCAAAGACGACGCCGGCTGCCATGCAAGCATTCTACCAGAATGGAATACATGAGTGCCCACTCTTCAGCCATTTTGATGAGTATCAATATTAACAACACGTGGTCATCTTGTTGGAGGTGTTAGGTGACATCAGCCATGTGCTCAGTATTCGCTTCGAAAGTCGGCTATGGTCCATTTGCTAATAATGGCCATACCCTCTTAAACGCTTTATCACAGCCTGTAGACCACGTTAGTTGGGTGTCCTAATCGATACCTTACAAGGGCATTTAGCATGAGGTCATACAACTTCACTCCCGGCACTGGTCTTAAAACCTCCATTTCCGTTGCTTACAGTTTTCTATTTTTAGCTTTGTTAAGTGACGCCGTCACCAAGCCATAAAAAAGCCCTTGTAGCTTAGTGCTATTGCCGACATATTTGTCCTTCAGAGATTGAATCATTTATTGTCAGCTGCTGGTGACCTGCACAGTGCCTTCCCAATTCACTCGTTCGTCTGCAGCCAATGTACTCCCAACCTGCGGATGCTCTGGTACTTTTCAACAATTTCTATGTCAAGGATTAGGCAGGCGTTCATTTGGGATCTGCCAATTTCTGTCCACCTTCTCTTTGTTAAGTTGGTCGAAAAACCCAAATCAGAACACTTCTGTTTCAGAGTTAGGAACAGTGATGTCGATCGAATCTGCGCAGACGTTGCCCACTCTTGCCGCCTTAGCCTCACTCCTACGTTTTGGCCGAAGCACCCAGCCACAAGTACCAGAGGAGATTTCACTCCTCATCGCCTTACTCTGAATTTTGTACAAAACAGTTTGTCCAACCTGTAATCAACTCGCATTGCATTTGATGGTAAATGGCTAAAAGTTAATATATTTAAAATTTATTTTTGGAAATCTGTTCAAACGAAGAATTCCTGAACCGTCTTTTAACTTGCATCAAATGGATGACGAGTCACTAAGCCTCGCACACCACGTGGATGCCGTCATCTACGACGGAAGCATGTCCCTCGCCTCGGTTCCATAGCGCCTCTCATTTCGTTGTTTAACG